AGGTAACTTTTTACTTTTAATGAGCAACGTTTTGAGAAATTGCGGGCAACTTTTTGGAAAATCCCGAGCAACTTGTGGAAAGCCCTAGTCGTCGCCGTCGTGCGCGCACGCCCACGAGCAATACCGCTAGCCATGATAACCATGAGAAATAGAAATCTATTCTCACCGGTCCTATCTCTGCGCACATTGAGTTATGGGCAATCTGCAGCTGCGAACGCCGATAAATAAAGCGAGCAAAATACACTGAGGCATAACAAAGGAAAGTAGGTACACCTAACCCTCAGAAACAAAGAAATCCTAAGAAGAAGAAAACCCGAAACTAAAGTTCATGCCCCAGACTGAAAAAAGAAACATAACAAACTTTTAACTTTTATTACGAAATCGAAGCAGCCGGGCGTTTTAAGGGTGGAATGGCAGAGGGAAAGCCAGAACAAAATCCTTTAGTGCTTAAAATCGCTATATACCTTCGAAGATTTGACACTGGCAGAGCAACCGTTGCAAAAATGTCAGCCGGGGCTACGCCCCCAAGACATCAGCCAGCTTTATATAATGGGATAGTGATACAGAGTTTCTCCATCGAACGTGGGACACGTTATCCGCAAGAAAAGAGCCTGACAAAGTCGAGGGTCAACGCGCAACCAGTTCTAAAACTGTTAAACGTTTATCCCTTGTCGATATTTGCTTGTTTGAGAAAATCCAAGCCACTACCATGCGGAGAGGTGGGGAGATTACCCGCTACAGAACACTCCAGGTCTAAAAAAGGCCAGCGAGTAAAACGTTTGCTAAAGCAAAACCATAAGACTGAACGCAGGAATTCGCCGGAAATGTGAGTGTTATCAGGCGCCAGCCCTTAAGCCGCGCAAAGAGGAGTACCAAGATAATTAACCCATGGGGTAAGACTCTGTGGTTTGATATGCGCCCCCACCCCCACAAACACACACTGAGGATTGGACGTAGGTGGAACAAAAAACTAACCGTGACGCGTGAGGAGGGAAGTGCTGCAAAAGGGAGAAAGAAAACCGTAAACGGAAGTAAGAGCGGCTCGAGGGAGAGCAGTTTTATGCCCCAGTAATCCGAGAGGGAATAAGAGTCCATTATAAAATTGCCAACCCAGAGCGGGAAAGAAATGGTTAGGAAAAAGCGAGGGGGAAAGAAAACAGAGACACGTAACGATTGAAAAAAAAGCGCCAAGACAAACACATAGGTGCATAAAACAACAGGTAGCGCTGTTATGTAAATTGAATGGAAAGACTTGATAGAAAATACAACTCGTGAGGCCGCAAAGAAACAACAAAAATAATAAACATAAAAATGAATCAGCGGCAGCAAAAATTTAACCCTTGAAAAACATGTCATATGCAAAACAACGATAAGTCATGAGGAAAACGAAGATGCCAATTACACTCATGACCAGAGCTGAAACCTTTTGGAACCGCTCAAATAAATGTAAACAGCATTTGCAAAACAACAAGAAGTCATGATGAAAACAAAAAGACCACAGCCGAAAGCTTTTGGGACCGCTGAAACAAATACGAAACTATTCAATCATTGCTTACTACTTGGAAGATTTTACAATTACTCTTGCAAAAGTATGATGTTCTTTCCATGTATATACCACATCTCATCAGCTTTCTAATGGGGAGTCGGTGGCAGACCGAGTGGTCAGTG